CATTTTTGGAAAAATGCTTTGTAACAAACCACGGAGTTTCATAATGTGATCCGACCGTACAAAATTTTTCCTGTAGACGTAAACAAAGCTGTAGAGAGCCATCTATTTAATCCAAAAACTATAGCAGAAACTCAGAATCTCAACTTCCTAACAAAGAAACAAAATATCGGGTATAGCAAACTTTCTCAGAGGATATACAACTTCTGTTGCAAGTACACGCAAGAACTGATTTTTCGGGTCGTTAACGGATTTCTTATCGTACTGCAGCAACCTATAATGTGACAAATAATTCATTATATGCCTGCTCAAACTTTCATTTTATCTATGTACTGTTTCGATGTTTCGTTCACCACCCTCATTCAAAAAATTTCTTGTAGCAATGGGGCATGGGATCCAACGTGAATTCTTGCTTACTCGTCAAATGCAGTGCTTTGAACAAACATCGCATATATAGTAGAATCCATATAACAACTGTTTTTCTTCCCTTGGACGCCTTTCCATTTTCCAACTAAATTACTGATAATCGATGATGGTGGACAAGGGGTCAATTCAGTACCACTATCAGGAACTTTGTCGCCTGTCTCGCCGGTACCTTAAGCAATAGTTATCCAGAAAAACAATGCGAACAACGTCAATAAAATAGCAGCAAAGCAATTTGCAGTGAACAGGTGAACAAAGGATAAGAGGAAAAAAGGGGAAAAATGCGCAAGACGCATATTTTTGCATGTATTTATAAAGATCTGTAGCACGGATGATAACTGAAAAAATACACCCAAAAAACGTTGACTTCAAAGAAATTGTTATGCGAACTAACAGTTGTACACAAAAGGTTCCAAAAAGATATTTTCGTAAAGTCATCGACAGCGAGATACAGGTAAGCAGGACTTCAACTTTTACGCCACTGTGGACTCTCAATATGGTTTTTTTTTCGTAAAAATTTTCATCGGAAGTTTGGCAAAACCTCAGTACTGCTATAAAATTTTGCACAATTTCTGCGAAAACCAAGACGATTTTGCAATTTCATTTCATGCTGTCCTCGGAAAAAAATTTTATAAATAAAGCATACAGCAATATTATTTCGTGTTCTTTAAACAGAAATTTTCCAGAGAAATATGAAACGCGGTCTTACAGGAACAACTATTTCAAGCTTTAAAGAGATATTTACTCCCTTTAAGCAGACTTCCGTGGTTTAAAAAATGCGTAATAAAAGTTCATAAAATAAAAAAAAAATAAGAACTGACCATCTTGAAAAATGGGCTCTACGGTAGCACCAACCCTTTCAGTCAATAAATCATCATAAATCGCGTATAACGGCACTAAAGCCAATTCTTTTTCGCACTCCATTACTAAATCCCCTTGGCGGCACACTTCCAGGGCATTCTGCCAACCCTTAGGTAAGTCACCGTCCTTAATACAAGTACCAATCATCTAACGTTTGAAAATAAGCTACATGAAAAAGCAATAAAACAAAAACACTAACAATCTCAACCACCGCCATTTCGTTCTTCTGATCAGGAAATCTCAAAACTCTTCGTAAAATACCATGACGTTTAGAATGAAACTGCTTCACTGTGTACCATGAGCCTTGATTCAAAAAAGTCAGTTAAGCTAGAAATTCAGGTCAGTTCTATTGAAAAAAAAAAAGAAAAAATAAAAAGAACCTATCCGTGGAAACGAATAAGCATCAAAATGCGATGCGACAGGCGTCCCACTAACTGCTGGCCAGGAATGTGCAGTTGAGTAGAAAAGATCAGAT